CCCAAGAACTCGCGAATGGTATATCGTAGGACCACCAAATTTTCAGAGGATGGTGTACTAGTAAAAATTTATCATACGTACAATTTGTATGTCGTTGTGACGTAATATGACGTCATTATAATTTTATTGGCCAAAAACCGTCTATAAAGGTTATTCCCTGAAAACTAAACGGTATACGACATAACTTTACCAAAAGTGTTTATGACAGAATATTAGGGTGTACTAAGTCTTATGTTGCCCATAGCAACACCGGTGACGTCATAAAATGACGTCAAGCATACATTAAATATCTGCCATCTTGGATCATCAATCTTGAATTTTCAAAAATAGTTTTTTTTCCAGGATAAAGCCTAAAATGCATTGTAAACAGACTAAAGACGTTCATACGAACCTTTTTTGTAAAAAGAAATGGGAGTATTGATGAAATTTTAAGGAAAATAAGCTGTATTTACCTGATCTAATGATATGGTCCGCCATCTTGGATTTTTGGCCAATGACGTCATAAAATTAGCATGAATTATGCATTTTAATGATAAATTTACATATAATTATATGAAATGTTATTAATATTAGAAACCATGTGGAACTTGACATAAAATCCATAAAATTCTGTTGTTGAAACGGAAATTACTAAATTTAGCAAAAAAAGCCTGTCAGAAACCCGTTGGCGCGGGCACTTTTAGCCCCCCCCCCGCCCCGGTCTAGATAGGGTTAAGTAACAGAATAGAAGAATTAGTGGTCCAAAATAGGCATACATCAAATAATATCACATCAATCATACAGAAATAAAATAAATAATAAGTGAAATGATGAAATTTGCATATCAATGTACAGTTGGCAGGCAGTCTTGTTACTCCGTGAAGGAGGTCAGGACCTCCGGACGGAGTGTTGTGAAGAGCTGATTTTTCGTGTTCGCAGTCAAAATACTGGGTTCTCTTTGTGTAATCGGGACGCAATTTTATACGCCGTCTGCGGGCATGCCCGTGTTGATGCACGAATGTGTATTTTTGCAGTTGCTGCTTTCGCGGTCAATGTAATATTGCAGAAGCACCCCTACAATTACGAGGCGAATTGGAATGGTCCAGAAAAACGCGTTGTTTGGAATAGCAGTGGGGGGGTGGACCTTCATGCAGATACGGTGAGGTTCTGATAAGTGGTTCCAGATGTTTTTGCCCGTGCTTAAGAGATGGTAAGTTTTTTGGAAGATGTTCGCAGCCAAAACGCATTCTTCCGAACGTCGCATTTCTGTGCAATCGGGCATGTGGTGTACCATTATGTCTGGGATGATGCACGTCTTTTTATTTTCACCGTAGCAGTTTTGATATTGAAGTAAATGCAAATTTTAGAAACATCCCTACTTTTACAATCCTGTGGAATAGGCCGTTGGTTTAGGCAGTTGTCTGGTAGCAGAGGTTCTCTAAGCAGATATCCCGGGTACCGGCGGTAGTAAAACTCGCGGTGCTGACCGCAACTGTTGCTGGAATTTGGCCTGTTCCAGTCGCGCTTAATAAGTAACAGGAACGGTAAGACGTTGGGGTTGTCTCAGTGACACGACCGTGGCCGACCATGATAGTCCGATCTTTATGTGAATGCAATGATTGTGTGTGTGTAATTAAAATGAACTTCGAACTTGAAGCACAGTATCTTTACACGCCCTGGGAGCAGTAATGGATTTAGGTCTTTTTATGTTTTATGGTTGTGACGCGCCCTCATTGTATTAACCGTTGCCTAATTATAATGTCTGCACAGTAGGTCTGGCGTTGACGCTTGGGATTGTTTTTGTTGAAATATATAAAACTTCACGGAGGATTGTCACCTATGGCTTCTTGTTTGTATATTTGTTTAAAGCCTATGAGTGTACTAGCTGATTTCAGATGAGATTGTAAGTTGTTGCATAGAATCACCCCAAAGTACGAGAAAGCTCGCTTTCTGTACTCCAGTTGAACTTTTGGCAACTGTATTCCTCCTTAAGCCCTAAGGCGTGTGTTGTGTTTATGTACCTCAGATAACTGAGTGAATCACCCCCAGAGTACTCCAGCTGAACTTCTGGCAACTGTAGGTGGTGAGTTGACCATACAGCACAAAAATTAAGATTCAGGCCAAACAGTTTGGCCTCATTCCTTTAAAATAACTCTTTTACATTACGTCAGAAACAAAAGTCAGGTGTTTAGTTGGTCTGTTTGAAACGTTGAACGTTGACATTATGGCGTAACGTGTCAATCGACGTCTAATGTATTAAATAGCTAATCAGCCATAGTGTCACCTTTGAACCACATGCCGTTCTTCTTCCTTCGTCTTCCTTTCGATGCCCACGTTCATTTCTGTTCTGAACATTCTGGCATGTTGAGGAGGTCAGAGGTTTACTGCAGATTTGTCCTGATCGCTGTCCATAATCATGTTCGTATATCCAAGCGTAGATTTATCACCAGGAAGACCTGCCAGTTGTCGTGTAAAAGAAAATCAGTTCACAGCCCTGGACACAGAACTGTCTACTGTGGTGTCCTGGACCGCAGACTCAGATAGAGTATTCCAATCCTTGATGGTTCTGTGTAGGAAGGCACCCGCTCTGTACTGCGTTCTGACGTTGATGCCGAAACTGCAGGCTTTAAGTACGACGCTGTCTAGATAGGGGGTGGAGTTAGTTATCTTGCTCTTGATTGTGGGGTACTGCACCAGGATGATGATGGACGATTTTGTACATCACTCCTAGACGTGATGATTTACATGTACTACGTCGTTCCAATGTGGGCCAACCGAGCGATTCTAGAATGCTACTTGAACTAGAGGTACTATGGTAGCGGTTTAGGACGAACCTAGCAGCACGCCTCTGGACAGACTGCAGCTTGTCGATGTTCTTCTGATGAGTGTGTGGGTCCCATACTGTAGCATCTGTGCTCAACTAAGGGTCTCACAAAAGCTTTGTACGCCTTTGCTTTGATGGTACTGGAACTGATTTTCAGGTTGCGTCTAAGAAAGACTTAAGAGCTTTGTTGGCTTGGTTAACGATGTTGTTGATGTGAGTGTCCCAAGTCATGTCCTGGCAGAATGTAACTCCGAGCTGAGTGGATAACTTACGGGAGAGTATCAAGAGTGTGCCCGTGGAGTGACTGTAGGAACGTTGTAAATGTTTCCGTTTTCTAGTAACTGGCATGTATACAAACTTTGCAGGATGAAACTGCATAGTGTGGGGTTATATCATACTGCAATTGTCTAGCTGGAGGGATTTAGACTCCTGTCACCATACATATGAATGTGTTTGAGTAAGAATTAACAGAGCAGCTTTTATCTTCCTTTCATATAATATTAGACCAGCAAAAATGGCGCATTTTACGTTTTTCGGTGATCTGTTTGAAGAGTAAAGTTTACAATATTAGGAAAGCGTAAAGTACCACCCGACGTCAAATATACTGCATGGGTAATCAGGCAGAAAATTTCAACTTTGACCCAGATGTCGTTCACCTCTAACCTCACGAGAAGATGAAAGGACAAGGTGGCAGAACACAGTTTTCGCCCTATGGCCATAGTATGGGGATTTCTATAGTTAGGGCCCCCAGGGTGACTCACTTGGTAGGGTGCACCAGAGGAACACGACCAACTAATATGTTGAAATTTAGGGTATAAACTGCAAAATGACTGAAAAAAAAATTATCGTTTTTTTTAACATTCTGACGCCCTCTTTTATTTGGCCCTCTACCGGGGTCAACGGAACTGCAGCCGACTCACCCTGGAAGGCAGTTGCGTAAGACAGGCGCATTTATACACTGAACGAGCAAACTTCAGAATCCTACTCATACGATCGAAAAGTCGACTCATTATACTACCATACGGTAAAGTTCATGCTTCCCTGCCTTTTATTTTAAAATCTATACAAACGCTACAAGATTTCGTCTGTACTATTTTCTGTACCATACGTAATGAGTGTCGCGGATAATTACTGTGTTCTGCGGCCTTAAAGCTGCCCGAGTTCCGGTTTTCGTGAAGAGAAAAACCATCAAAGGAAGCAGGTAAGACTTCGAAACGGGACGCAAAGTATTGTTATGATGAGAGAAATAGTTACAGATCATTTCTGTGGAAGAAAGACCTCTTTAAGACTATTATTTGTATACATTTTTGCAATGTTTATATATATATATTGGAAATAAAGGGGGGGGGCAAAATTTCGCGAAACCTAACATATGTTCAACCCTTGCCACCTATAATGTAGGTCAACTTGCATAAGGCAAGTGGCCCATTTGGAGGGCGTTGAATAATATAGAAATATAGGAATGTTGACTAAAAAATTGTAGACATTTTCGCAATGTTATATGATTTATATGCTAAAGTAAAGGGGAAGCATATGGGTGAAACCTAACATATGTTCGACCCTTTCCAGTATGTACGTCAATTTGTATCAGGCAAAGTGGCTTTTTTGGGGGGGCTTTTTGGGGGACAATATAGAAATGTTAACTGGATTGTAAAGAATCACATAAGGCGTACATTACAAAAGCCAGAAAAGCGTAGCACTGTGAAAACAGTGTATTGAGCACATAGAGACTATGTCTAGCGAGAAAAATAGATGTTAAACAAGGAATTCAACAACAAAAACAACTTTAAGACTATGGCATAGTGAACAAACCTATACTGCAGAGTCTCTATCAAGCCAAGCGAATGGATTGTAGTCGTAGAAGTAATTAATAATATAATATAAAATGTTTTAAATACGCTCAGTGGTGTGAGCGAGTGATTGTAAGATCTCAGAAATTATGATTTTCAACATTATAGAAGCAAATTAATTCAAATGCGAGAAATAAAACACCATAGAATTACTATGTATGGTGGGTTGCATTGTTATGCAAAAGATTGAAATAGTTGTAAAGCTCAAGTTGAAGTTATAACTCTTTAAACCTTGTTTTCCATAAACCCAATTTTATTATTGACAGTCTTTAACTGGATAATTTTTAAAATTTCTTAATTTTCATTTTTTTTTCAGAACATGGAAATGACAGGACATGGGTCTCCCACCGGAGTTGGACAAAACTGCAGTGATGAGACTCCCACCGGTGTTTCCAGGGTAGATTGTAACAGCAAAACAGTCAATGACGAAGAGCAGGTGGCAGCACGAAAAGTCAACTTGAATAATGCTGGTGAGAAACCCTACATGTGTGGGGAGTGTGGGTACAAGGCGGATTACAAGTTTAAGTTATCCATACATATAAGAAAGCATACAGGAGAAAAACCCTACAAGTGTGATCAGTGTGACTATTCTGCAGTACACAGAAGCAATTTGGCCAAACATCTTGCAAGACACGGTGGTGAGAAACCCTACATGTGTGGGGAGTGTGGATACAGGGCAACTGATAGGTCAAAATTTTCCCGACATATTATGACCCATACAGGTGAAAAACCATTCAAGTGTGACCAGTGTAACTATTCTGCAGCTCTGAAATCCACGTTGGATCAACATCTAACAAGACACATTCGAAAGAAACCCTACATGTGTGGGGAGTGTGGGTACAGGACAGGTCATAAACCTCACTTATTGCAACACATGAGAACCCATACAGGAGAAAAACCCTACAAGTGTGACCAGTGTGGCTATTCTGCAGCACAGAAATATTCTTTGGACCGTCATGTAGCAAAACACACTGGTGAGAAACCTAACATATGTGGGGAGTGTGGGTACAGGACAGCTCACAAGTCTGATTTATCCCAACATATGAGGACCCATACAGGGGAAAAACCATACAAGTGTGACCAGTGTGATTATTCTGCAGCATGGAAAACTAATTTGGACTTTCATCTAGCAACACACAGCGGTGAGAAACCCTACATATGTGGGGAGTGTGGGTACAGGACAGCTAAAAAGTCTTACCTATTTCAACATATGAGAACCCATACGGGAGAAAAACCCTACAAGTGTGACAGGTGTGACTATACTGCAGCACGGAAATCCAACTTGGACTATCATTTAGTAAAACACACCGGAGAAAAACCCTATACGTGTGGGGAGTGTGGATACAGGACAGCCCAAAAGTCTGACTTATCAAAACATATGAGAACACATACAGGAGAAAAACCCTACAAATGTGATCAATGTGACTATTCTGCAGCACGGAAATCCCACTTGGACGATCATCTAGCAAAACACACTGGTGAAAAACCCTACATGTGTGGGGAGTGTGGATACAGGACTGCTCACAAGTCTGACCTGTCTAGACATTTGAGATCCCACACAGGAGAAAAACCCTACAAGTGTGACCGGTGTAACTATTCTGCAAAACAAAAATCCACTTTAGATAAACACCTAGCAAAACACTTGTGAGAAGCCCTACATGTGTGGGGAGTGGGGGTACATGACTGCTCAGAATTTTGAATTATCTAAACATATGATAGCCCATTCAGAAGTAAAACCCTTCTAAGTCTGCCCTAACTTAACATAATTTACACGGAGGCACCAAGTGTGCAAATATGACCATCTCTATCTCGATACCAATGGTATATCACATTGATACACAAAACGTTTTGGTATTCCAAAAGGGTGTATAATGTTTGAAAAAAGGCATGCAGTTTTCGTAAGGAAATGTAGTCCTGTACTTTCGTCCACAATAGTTTAATTCCTGTAAAACTATGCTTTATATTTAAAGAATAATACTTAACAAAACTAGTATGAAAATAATCCACAATCCTTTTTATAGCTAACTAGTATTGTAGTGGAAGCCAGTAACTTACATGTACATATACAGTAATTAAAATCAGTAGTGAATGTATTGATAAGTAGACGTTAGTACGCGTACGGTTGAGTTTGTACGGTTGAGTTTGTAGATGCCTATATGTCATAGATATGCAGTTATATATTTAGACTAATATTAAGTCTGTGAACTAGCGTCTGGTTCGACAGAAAACCTACAGCCCAGCTCCAACAGTAGGAAGTACTTAAAGAATATACATACATACATATACATATATATATATATACATATACATGCATAAACACATACATATATTCTAGTAGAAAATGTAGACGATATG